AGCAAAGAAACCTGATGTTTAGTGTAGTCTTACTGATTTTATTTAGGCTCTCAAAAACAGTGGAAAATCATTTGCAGTCCTCAGTTATTGCCTTGATCTAGGCTAGAATTTTAGAAATTTCATGACATTCTCCAGAGACCTGGGAACCAATGAACTAGCCATATTACACAATCACTCTGATGTTCACAAAGGAAAGTGGTGATAACATGGAATAGTTTGTAAAAACTAACATCCTAGGAAAAAAATCTCAGAGAAAATATTACCCTGGATCAAATATTACTGGATCAAATAATGCCATTTTTATATGTAAAGGAAATCACACTGCCTTTCAGACATACACATTAAAAACTTTGAGTTAAGAAAATATTCTTTAACCAGAGTAATATAAATTCTTTTGCTCAAAGGACAATAACAGAAGCCTAGAGAGAAGTCATAATTCTGCATTTTGTTTGAATATAAGATTAGACATTATTACTAATTATTAAATGAACACATACTACCTAAAGATATTTCAATATATACATTTAAATTATTTTATAAACTTTAGTTTAATTAGACAGGGAGAATTTATATTTTCTTCTTAAGAGGAAAAAAAAACTTGCTGGTTAGTCTGGGCACAAAATTCTATTCTAACCTTTGAGGTACAAGGGAATATGTGACAAGAGATTACATTTATTCATTTATTTATTTTAGTCAAACTTCAGATGCTTAGGGAATAAAAGGAAAATTGAATCGGTCTTTGTAAAAAATTCTCTATTTTAATAACATCTATAGGGAATGGTGAATTGATTGGAAGTTTGGAATTTTTTTTCTTTTTTGTTCTGGTCATTATTCTCTACAACAAGCCTCTTGATTCTAATAGAGGTGCTGCTGCCTTTCATAATTGAAAATCAGAACTCATTTAAGTTGTGGATCATGCTCACTTTAAAACGCAGTTTGTTACAGAATTATTCTTTTAGCAAACCATTTTTGGGAGACTATCACCATTTTAGAACTTGAGTCCTCTAGATATTGCCCATTCATAGAATCTACATACTATTTGACTTTTTTGGCTTAGGCACTAATTTACTTAGGGCAATGAAAGACTAAAATCCCAAGTTTGTTTTTAAAATATACTTCACTGTGTTCTAAAGCAAGAGAAGTGAAAATCAATTGTCATTTCAGTCAGATTTCATTAAAAGAAAATATCTGATATGAAAGGGAAACGACTTTCTCCATATACAGAAAAATATGTCATTTCAGCAAATAAATTTTTGCTGGAGACAATGTCATTCTATGAAGAACTGTTTAGAAAAGATAACACCTTGTTGTCCTTGTTAGATTGTGATGAGTGTACTGAAAAGGAAATCCAAACTTTGTATGTTTTACAGATCGTGTTCTCACTATAGCTGGAGAATCTTAAAGGATCAAAGCACAATCAAAGCACAATTATATTGCAGTGAGCATAAAAAACGTGAATTCAAAATAATGTTTAATATTATATTGTTGACCTCACAGGAATAGATGCATACATACAAATGGACAGAAAGTTTTCATCTTAAATGCTGCCCCATGATAAAAAGCTACAGAGGGAAAGGTTGGAACTGTTAGTTTTTAATCATAATTTGGTTATTTAACCCTTCTGTGTTTTCACAAAGACTAGGGTAAGTGTTTCTGATGGTTATTCCCAGAGTATTCTGTACTCCTGCTGATAAATCATAGCACTTATTATACTTTATTATAATTTACAGTTGCCTGTTTTATCTGTTTGTAAAGCCAAGAACAATGTTATTTGCTCACCACTGCTTTCCCAGAACCAGGCAAAGACTTATCTGATAGATTAATAACCCTGTTGGGGAGGCAAGGATTACCAGCTTCATCATAGACAAAAAGCTCAGAGAAGTTGAGCAAGTTGCTTAATGCAGTGTAGTAATTAAGTAGAGAAGTCAGCATCTGAATCCAGGTCGTCTATTATCAAGTCAAGTGCTCTTTCTAGTGCTCATCTTTTAAGACTGTATTGTATTTCCGATGTAAAGAAAACATATTCGCACATATATTTCTACACATGACAGATTGCATGCCTAATCTGAAACATGGAAGGGGGATTTCTATGGGGTTTGGCTAACAGTAATATGTACTAAATTATAAATATCCCATCCAAGATGCAGTAACAATAACAATGTCAAACTCAACTTGTGTTCTAATCTTGTGCTAGATATCATTCCTGGGATGTCTTATACATACATTAGATTGAAAACATTCAAAACAAAAATGTATTAACCACTCTCCTTTGCTTTTTCTCTCTTATTCCTTAGTATAGTTAATAACATCATTTACCCATATCTCAAATTAGAAACCTGACTTTCTTTTTGATTTCTTCTCTGCCCTAAATTTTTATGCTATAAAATTAAAGAATTCATCTAGAACAGATTAATGTCCTAAAACCTACATCCTTGAAATTTGACTCAGCAGGCAAAGGCAAAAAAAAAAAAAGTCATTATTTAAAATAAAAAAGAATTGATATCTGAAGTTGGATTTTGAAGTCACTGAATTAGGTTATTTATGTACTAATGAAGTTTTAGTCTGAGAGTTCTTGATTGGTGAATACTACCTGTAAGGTGGTCATTTCTGCTGAATATAATTCTCAAAACCTCCACCTGGCAAAAAAGCTTTTGTTTTGTTTTATTCATCTTTCATGTCCCTGGTGAAATGTTACTCCTTAGAGCGGCCTTCTCTGATCATCTCATCTAAGTGAGGTTTCCCTCCTTTTATTTTCTATCACTACACTTTTTTACTTCTCCTTAGCGTGAATTTCAATGTATCATTATTAAGTTACTGTAAAAGTATATTTATTATAATTTAAACAGTTATTTTAAATAAATTTATTTTAAAAATACCTATTTACTTCAATATACCATTGACTAAACTGTAAACTCCACAAGGGCAGAGATTATATCTGTCACTGATATAAAAGTACATATAAAAGCATCTAGTTTGCATTCAATTAAGCAGTCTTATGATTTGAGACTTTTAATAGGAGGATTAATTTGATTATCTTCACTTCTTTTTAAAATATAAGTATTCAAACTAACTTTTCTATTATATTACTATTCTGATTCAACCGTAAAAGTTTAATTTTAAAATTACAACAAAGCAATAATTTTATCTTTGCGATTACATTCTGGTGCTGGTAAAAATTATTTAAAAGAAACAGAATCTTATTCCTAGACAAAAATGCAGAAAAAAATTCCTGAAAAAAAAAGATATTCAAATATTCTGTTTTATTTGAATTTACTGTCAATGTGAACAGCTAAGTGTTAACTATGGAAAAAATATCAAGACAAGCCACTTCCTCCCCTAAAATTCTGCAATAAGCAAATTAACTTAATGTAGAAATTTGGAGTGATTTTAAAAACTGTATTTAATATTCTCTTTGCAATTAAGATGTAATTGCAGAGTTTTAAAAAGGCTCAAGAACTACTATGTATAATTAAACTTAGCTTAAAATATTTATGTACACAGTATATCACTAAGAAAAAAATACTGTGTCTTAGATAATTCTGTATTCCCATCATTAAGGTCTTAATATTTGGTGAATGAGTAAACTTTTATACTGGACTTAACACTTAGCTTTAATTATTCCCAGACTTTATAAATGAGTACAACTTATACTGTTGGAATTTAATGAAGTCAAATAAATTATTTTGTTTTAAAAATTTATAAGATATGGATGAGATTCTTCTACCCAATTTATGTCTTGAGAACTCCATGTTTTCATTCAGTTGAAGATGTAGCTGACTGGCACCCCATGTATAAATGTATAACATACATTTTATATCTAGAATGTTTTTATAGTTTTTCTTTATTGAAGATTTAGGACGTCAATTTTTTTAAACTATAAAATTAATATCAGCTATTTTTGACACAAGTCTAAAAACAATGATATACAACAGTTAACACTCTGAAGACTTTGCTGAAAAGGTTGTACCATGGAATGTAAAAACAACTGCACTACACATATCAAGAATTGCTTGAGATTACTTCTAGTTAAATTCAATGATAACATTCATAAAACTCATAGAAAAGCTGGAATTGAGGAAGATAGCTATATAAGTCCTTAAATCTGATGACAGTGAAAAAGCCACAGTTTGAAAAATTACCTGGAGAGCCCTGAAATAAATTTACTGTATAGCCTGATATCTAACATCATATCCTATTAAATAAGAAGGAATGTTACTGTTAAGCTTTTGATGCCAATAGTGGATCCATCCCATAGAAAACTTGAAAGCACAAATGACTAACTTTCCCAGGAAAGAGATATTCCAGGAAAAAGCATCACAGTCATAATTAGGTTTGCTACTCAATTTTTCACATACATGAAGATGTCAGGTAGCAAATAAATGTCTAATCCTCCCCCCACCCCCTTACATGATTCAGTACTTGGGAAAAATTATAAAAATAAATACTAAGACACTTCCTCCCTCCCCCAAAGGTTGGCATTAAAACTTTCTTTCTAATCAATTTAGATTTGTTTCCAAATATTAGGCAGCAACATTCCAAGTTGAATATGTTTGAAAAAATTTGGAATGATACTAGAGCAGGGAGCTACCCCTGCCTGGACAAGTTAAAAAAAAATCCCTTTGGTGATATTATTTTATTTTGTTAATCTTTCTGTTTATTGGCCAGAAACACATTCATCCTCTGCATAAATAACTTCACTTCTATACTAATAAGTATGCTAAAAAGTGATAAGTCTACAACAAAGAAACAGGAGCTACACAAAGTAATACCTATCGCTGTGAGGTGGTAGGCATTTTGAATGAAATTTCTATTGCTCTATTGTTGGCCTAATACGACAATCTGTGAAACATTAGGTGGTAATTATGTTATAGCCCATTAATTTTTCAACGTATTATCTTGCATGCAATCCAATCTTGACAAGCGGAGGGAAATATTGGTTGGTTAGTTTTCCCAGATTCACATAGAAGAGCAGGTGTAAGGTGCCAAGGAACTGTACTTACTTTTGGTGTTGGGCAGGAAGCTGTAGATAGGCGAGATGTAGCCTGAGCACGAGGAGATTCTGAAGGAGTAGTGCTGAGGGAGGCTGTGTCTCGTGGGAGCACCTGAACGCCACGAGAAATGATGGAGTCTGGAATCTGGACAAGAGGAACAAGTATGGTTTAATATGCTGAAAATACCAACAACATGTAAAATCAATACCCACATCAAACATTTTTTGAGGGGGGCATTCTTTGCTGCTGAGCTCTCAGATATTTGGTCTCACTCACTGTTACGTATGAATGCATCCAACAATTTGGGATAGGGTAGAAACCTTCAGATTTAAAATATTTTCCTTGGCCAAATAATATTTCATCAAAGCTTTTTTTATGAGGCAGTACAGAATTGTAGAGAGAAGTAAAGTGTTTGGCATTCATATACTGGCTCTGCCACTTAATAGTTATTTAATTCCTAGATATTTTCCATTTCCCTTTCAGTTTCATTCTCCACCCTTCTTCACTCTCTCTGCTTGAAGCTAACCTGTACAGATAGAATCAATAAGCTATTTTGTGCTCTCTGGTTTCTAGCTGGGCTCAGCTAATAGGAGCCACTGTCAGGAAACTGAAGAGTTGTAGGAGAGTAAGGTCTGACATTTATTCCCCTGGCTCCTTCTCTACCAGGTCACTGCAGGTTGGCTAAGATCACAGCCCCTATCAGATGACCCTTGCCTTCGGCTCTTTTCTGGATTCCACAGCTCCCTCCCTTGCCCCATTAGGACTAGGAGTATTAATGATTCCCACTATTACTAGTCCCAGGGTGCTGCATCATGTTTTGTTGCTTTCCCTAAAATCTGCCCAAGCTTTTGTAAATATCACAGTCCTTTATTAAACTCTTTTCAATTATCCATTTAAGTATGCTGTGACTTTGCTGGGATACTGATGGATATATTTTTTTAATTTGCCATTTCCTTTACCTAAAAAATGTAGATAATGATAGCATTTACCTCACCAGATTATTGCTGAGGGTTAAATAAGATAATGTATATAAATTATATAACACTTACAAGTAGTTAATACTTAATAAATGTTGGCGATTGCTAGTTATTATATTATACCTATCAATAGGGTAAAGACTGATGTAACTGAATATTACTACTGTAAAAACATATAAATGTAAGGACAAATAATGTGGATTATTAAAAAAAATTAATATTTACGTTGATTATAAAATTTATTATTTGGGGCTATGCATAATTTAGTTCATGTTCTGGGCTAGTACTAGTGAGAGTAGGTCTTCTAATCTCAAAATGAGAACTTGACTACTTTCAAGCAATTATCATTCAATCAACAAATATTACTTACTATGTGAAAAGAAGAAAACAGCAGCTAGATTTTGTGACTAGAAAGGTGCTCTCTATCTTACACACCATCTCTTTCTCACAAAGGACATATTATTTTCATAAATGCTCTTTTATTTAGTTTCCATACCTACATCCTCAATACCAAAGGTACTTCCACCATTTCAGGGCTTAACAATTTATGTGATTTATGAACAATAACCCCATAACTAGGATGAAAAGCAATGGGAATTCTGAGAAGAAAAATAGCTCCATTTGCTAGTATATTTGAATAGTGAATTGCAATAAATATTTTAAAGAAATGGAAGTAGTCTAATTTAGAAGAGCTATATGTTGTCACTTATGTCTAATATAAAAGACCATGTATTGGAAAGAAAAAGGTCAAACGCCCCTATTATATTTCACATAATACCACGTTTCTCTCTTTCACAGAAATTACCCATACTTATACTACACTTATATGTATGCTAGTTTGATCAATGTCTATCTCCCACACCAGAATGCATTGTCATGATGATGGAACTGTGTTTTTGCTACTACTGTACATCCAGTAGCTAATGAAGCATCTGCACAAAGTAGTATACATGTATGATATATATTTCCAGACTTACACACACACACACACACACACTATCTTCATCCCCCCAAGAAACAAAAGAGCAGGATATTTGAGGGAGAAGGTAACTTTAAATTGTGAGGTACATACTTTTGGGTTACTAGCCTGGAAATACAGAATTAACTATTGGAAATATGAAATTGGAGCTCAGGAAAAAGTTGGGGATTGGATATATACTTTGGGAATTATCACTGAAGGTGGTAGTTTCAGTCATGCAAATATTTCAGGTCACCCAAGGAGGGCATGTAAAAGAACAAAAGATGACGGTTCAAAATTCTAGGTGATATCCATATTAAGGGGCTAACAGAAGAAAAGGAATTAGGGGAAAAAAAAGCCCTGTAAATGGTATGATGATACAACCTTGTTTTCCTTGAATAATCTGGGTTTATATCTATTATCCTGACTTTATTAAATAACACATCTTCTCACTTTCAGAAGTGTTTCAGTTTGGAAGATAAATTATTTGGTCTTCCTATCTTTAAGAAACAGAGACAAAAGAGGAAAATTAAGACAGAGTGAACATAAGGGAAGAGAAAAGAGAAGAAAGATGTTACAAAAGATGTTACAAAATATCAACTATTGGGGAGAACAGGAGTAAGGTGAGAGTTGAAAAGATGCCATTAGATCTAGCAATTAAAGAAGATACAAGTAAAGTAAAAAGAATAGAAACGAGTTGAGGAAGCAAGTGGGGATGACAAACCAGGGTAATTGGTGGAAAAAAAAGAGAGACATTCACTAATATTCTTTTCTTTGGTGCTTGGAATGAAGATCTATCTAATGAGAAAAATGGGAAGTAAAAGTGGGAAAGATAACTCTAGGAGAGTCATAAAAATCTGGAAAAATGCATTGATGACTGAAGCATGGAGGATAACTAAGGCATTGGCAAAGGAAATATCAACCATCATTGAGAATCCAGTTAATACTGGCAACCATAAATTTCCAATTTCATTAGGTAATATAGTGTGGAAATAAAATTTCACCCATCTCAAAAAAGAAAGTTATGCTACAGACAGAGACTTAGAAATTATTTGCAGAGATAAGATTGTGGAAGCTACAGAAATAGATGAGATCTGAAAGACAAAGACCATATGGAAAGAATACAGCAAAACAGAAAAAGGAGAAACAGACATTAAAGAACAAGATAGAGGTGGTCATTAGTAACCTAAAAGAAAGCTAATATTTGATGAAGATAGATACCTCAATATAGATGGTAAAGAAAAAAGTTGGAGGAAAAGGATGCAGTGAATATGGATAACTCTGTTGTACAGTGTTTGTAATGTTTCCTTTTTGGAGATATTATGAACAATTCTTGTTCATGTACCATAATTCCCACATGCATTAATTCTAGGATATATATACTCAGAAACAGAATTGCTGGTTGTAGGGTGTGAATACTTTCTTTTACAAATTCCCAAATTGGTTAAGTCAATTTATATGTCTATCAAAAGAAAATGGTGACAATTCCTCTTACTCCAGTACTTAGCTCTACCTAGTATTGTCAGTATTATTAATTCTTCTTCAAATGGGATACTAAAAATATCTTAATGTGTTTTTTGAAAGTCTTTATTGAATTTGTTACAAGATTGCTTCTGTTTTATGTTTTGATATTTTGGATGCGAGGCACGTGGGATCTTAGCTCCCTGACCAGGGATCAAACCCACGTCCCCTGCATTGGAAGGTGAAGTCTTAACCACTGGACTGCCAGGGAAGTCCCCTTAATGTGGTTTTCTTTTCCCATCATTGTTAATGAGAGTAAATACCTTTTCATGTTTATCAGCTATTTAGATGTTCTCTTTTGTAAAGTCCCTATTCAATTTGCCCTATTTTTCCCTTATTAAGTCATTCATTTTTTATTGAATTGTTACATTTCTGTATCTATTCTGGATAACAAGTCCTTTATCAGTTTTATATGGTGTAAATATCTATTCCTACTATGTAGCGTGCCTCCTTTATCATGTATTGTGATGAACAGAATATTTTAATTTTAATTTAGTTAGCTCTATCAATATTTTCCTTTATAGTTAAGTGGTTTTTGCGTCTTAAAAGGAATACTTTCTGAGTGACATCAGTAGAAAGGTAGAGTAGGTAATGTCAATAGTCCACACCTCTACTAAAGAAGTGAATAAACTAACAAAATCTGTCAGAATCAACTTTACCAGAAATCTAAAAACTAATCAAGTTTACAGCAGCCAGGTGAATGCTTAATCAAACCCCCCCACAAAACCCCCCAATTGATCCCCTACTACATAGCTCAGTGATGGCCTTGAAGACACAGCCCACATGTCTGGTAAAAGTTCTGAATACTGAAGGGAAACAAACCTTATTCTCAAGGGTTGTGGCTGTTTCAACATGTCTGGTAGCTCACTGAAGGATACCCTCAAAGGGCTTTCCTTTATTTTCCCTATCTTGGAACACTCCCATGGCTCAGGCAACTAACTGGAGGGGAGGTTATCCAAATATTTAAAGTCAAACATATTAGCCACTGCTGTCTGGGCAGTGGATAACAGGTGGAATGAATAACAGATTAACTTAAAAACCTGGGAGGAAAGGCCATGTAATGAGATGCTTTCAGGCATAAGAGCTTTGAAAAGCTCCCAGATATTCCTGAGTTCCAGGAGGTCATGATTATGCCCAAGGCAATGCACATCCTTAGAAGACTTCACCTAATGTTTCACCTCTTGCTGAACTAAAGATCTTGCACAAGTAGGAAGTGAAGATTAGGCAGAATAGTAAACTGCCTGGCTGAGTGTTGAAGGCATGCTCCAATATATAAAAAGAGCTCATCTGCAAAGAATGGGAGATTTTCCTTTTCTGTATATTTATATTTTCCAGGCATTTAAGGAAATTATGTCAAATCACTAGCTGACTACGAAGCTAATGGAACAGAGACTTCAGTGGCCACACACAACAAAGAAGAACAGACTTGACAAAAGTAGTTCAGATATTTGTAGTGAGGTGGATGGACCTAGAGACTGTCATACAGAGTGAAGTAAGTCAGAAAGAGAAAAACCAATACTGTACACTAACACATATATATGGAATAGAAAAAAAAAGAAAATGGTCAGAAGAACCTAGGGGCAAGACGGGAATAAAGATGCAGACCTACTAGAGAATGGACTTGACGATACGGGGAGAGAGAAGGGTAAGCTGGGACAAAGTGAGAGAGTGGCATGGACATATATACA